TATTTTTTAGTTCTCGGCGGACACAACATCTTTGTTTGTATGTGGTGCTGAGGATGGAACCCGGGCCGCACGCATGCCAGGCGAGCGCGCTACCGCTTGAGCCACATCCCCAGCCCCCAATATCCCTCTTGATATTATTAATTTTATATTTTATTTTTTTTCCAAATCAGGATTCCCAAAAAGTACTTGTATGTATTATTTGAGTGACATATATTTTAAATGTCTTTCAAATAATTAAAAATTTAAAATATCCCCTCATTTTCCCTTGATTTATTTGTTAAGGTAATTAGGTGAATTGTCATATATAGTCTTTCAGTCTGTGTGGGTATTTCTGATTGCGTGTGTCTAGGGTTCATCTGACATGCTACTTTGTCCTTTCTATTTTCTACCAACTGATAGTAAACATTAGAAATGTATTAAGCTTTCTCTCTATATATAAACATTCCTTGTGTACATATAGTAGATTGCCTATTTAAGTATTAGACATTGTTTTCTACACATTCATTCATATATTTACAAATTATATTCATAATTCTTTTAAAAAATTTTTGTTAATTGTTTTGTAGTACATGTTGAAGGAATAAAATACATATGTTCAAGGCCATCCTCAATCACCCAGTTCCTATATATGGAGGCAATTAATGTTATGAGTTCCTTTTGTATCTTTCTCACAATTTTAGTTGGACGTTTCTGTGCTGTTACAAGGGCATGTATGAGAAAGAGCCCACTAGAGAGGTGGGGGTTTATATGTGTAGAGAGATAGCAGCAATGTAGAAAGGTATTTAAATAAATAAATAAATGTTTACCTTATTTTTCTATTGCTTTCATCTTGGGAGTGTGGATCGTGTCATGGTTCYCTTCTGGCACATTCTCATCTTTGGATGAGATGAATGCCTTCTGGAACTGCCATTTGCAAAAAAAGTATTCTGAGATGAGGGGCCAAGGCCATTTCTGTGGTAACAAAAATTCTCATTGTAACACAGGTCTGTGTGAATAGTTTCTTCATTCTTTAACTCAACCAACTCTACAAAGATCACTGCACACAGAGGCTCATGGTTTGCCATTTCTCTGCTTTCTTTGCTTTGCCACCTAAATGCTACCCCGAGGTCTTTTCTCTGATGCCTTATTTAGCTCTGCCTTCACAGTTTTAAGAAACTTCTTGATGAATGGGGTCCTGACTGTGGCTCGCACACCCAGTTCTGTTGGCTTCAAACAGGGATTCTTGGATTTCCACCC